TGTGCTTGATAGGGAGGAGAGTGTGAGCATACTGCTGTCACAAGCCTTCGTTTCTTCCTTGAATCCATTCTCTTTTGATTGACCTGTGCAGGAGTATGCTGCTATTTAGTTGATAAATCTTCTGTCTGATTCTTATCAATCACAAGAGCCCTAAGCAGCACTGTTTTATAGCTACAGAGGCCCCAGTATTGATGCCATAGAAAGTGGTCGCAGACCAAGGGCTAGTGAATGGATACTCCGCTGTAGTTAGCATCATTGGACACTTTCTGTACTATCATAAGAACGGGCCATACTGAGTCAGACCAAAGGTCCATCTAGCCCACTATCCTGTCGTTAAGCCGTGGCCAATACCAGGTACTTCAGAGGGAATGAACAAAACAGGTCATCTTCAAGTGATCTAGCCACTGTTGCCCATTCCCAGATGGGCGCACAGAGGACACCATCCCTGTCCATCCTGCCTAATAGGTCCATCAATGGCTATCTTCCATTACTTTATGTAACTCTTTTGAACTTCGTTACAGTCTTGGCTATTGTCTGAATGGGCTGTGGGAACATATGAACACAACAGTGGGTCAGACCAGTGGTCCATGTAGCTCACCATTCCATCTTCTGTGGCCAGTGGCACATGATTTAAGGGTAGTGAACAGAGCAGGGCTATTCTGGGTGATTCCTTCCCTAAAACTCCAATTGCCAGAAGATGTGATTGAACAGAGAATGAATGTAAAACCATGGGTAACTTGGTTAATGGGTTAAATGTGAAGTTTAACTGGTTAACTGATTAAATGAGAGAGGGCAGGGGGCCACTCCACCCATTGCTTTTTTCCCCCCCACCTCCCATTTGTTGTGGACAGGGGCTGCTCCAGATGTCCTGAGTCCAATAGTTTGCACATGTTCACATAAGAATAGCCATACTGGGTCAGACAAACCATCCATCTAACTCAGTATCCTGTTGTCTGACTGGTCAATACCTGGTGCCAGAGAGGGCATGAACAGAATTGGAGGTAATAAAGTGATCTATCACATAGCCCCTTCCGCTTGCTAGAAGCTGGGGACAGTGACACTTCAATGCATGGTTTTGCATCCCTGCCCATCCTGGCTAATAGCCACAGATGGACTTAGCTTCAGTTAACTTATCTGGTTCTTTTTCTGAGCCCTGTTACTATTGACCTTCATGACATCCTGAGGCAAAGGGTTTGAAAGGTTTGACTGTGCATTGTGTAAAGACATACTTCCTTCTGTTTTCTTTTAAACTTGCTTCCTATTAATGTCATTTGACCCTTTAGTTCTGGTGTTATGAGGTGTAAATAAGGAAGAGTTACTTCCTCTACCCTAGTTATGATTTTTGAGATCTCTATCATACCAGCTCTTTCCTAAGCTGAAAAGTCCCAGTCTTACTAATCTCATATGGAAGCTCCATCCTCCTAGCATTTTTGTTGCTCTGACCTCAATCTATTCTAATTCCAATATTTCCACATCAATATGTTGGAATACCAGGGATTGAATACTGCATGTGGGTCCGGTCGTCCATTTTTAGGCGAGATGACTAGATAGGCATGTGTCACAAGACTAGTACGCACAGCACCCTCTGAGGTGGGGCATGGAACCTATCAATGTGCTCCACCTCGTGAATGGTACCAACCCCAGGTATCCCCATGCTGGAGTCTGACATAGCAGCCAAAGTCAGTAGTTAGTCCCAGTTCACCAGGCAATAGGGCCCACTGGCCTGAGTCAATAAAAGGGTGTCATGAGGAGGGAGAAAACTTGTTCATCTTGACCTCTGGGGATAGAACAAGAAGCAATGGGCTAAAACTGCAGCGAGGGAGGGTTAGGTTGGACATTAGGAAAAAGTTCCTAACTGTCAGGGTGGTCAAACACTGGAATAAATTGCCCAGGGAGGTTGTGGAATCTCCATCTGTAGAGATATTTAAGTGTAGGTTAGATAAATGTCTCAGGGATGGACAGTATTTGGTCTTGCCATGAGGGCAGGGGACTGGACTCTATGACCTCTCGAGGTCCCTTCCAGTCCTAGTATTCTATGAATAACAAGCCCATATGTGCAGGACAATAAGGCCCAGCAGCCAGTCGATAACAACCCCACATTCACGGGGCAATCAAGCCTGGAGGCCCAAAGTCAGTAGTTCCAGAGGTAACATTCTCTGTGTGTACAAGGAGAGTGGGGTAGGGAGACCCGGGCCCTGGCTCTCCACTGGTTCCCAGCCCAAGGCCCTATCAGTGGTTGGTGTCCCCCCCCCCTTCAGGTCAGTGGGGAATCTGCCCGCAACACACTAAGCTCTTGAGACTCCAGCTCCCCACCCTGGATTACTTTCTACCTGATTCACAACT